TAGTTAAACATCATCTGCCACGTATTGGCCCAATGCATCAAATGATCTAAATCTCTCTGTAAGTCTGCAGCATTTTTGATACAGTTAGCCACCCCAAAATCTTAATGTCATCTGCAAACTTCAAAAGTTTGATAGGCATTCCAGAGTCAATATCATTAATATAAATCACAAACAGCAGAGGATCCAGCACACAGCCCTGAGACACACAGCCTGTAACTGTGTTCCAGTAATATCTAACTCATTACTATTCTCTGCTTTCTACTCTTCAGCCAATTTTCTATCCAATTTAATAACATTTCCCCCACACCCACAGATTTAATTTTTGTAACAAGTCTTTTGTGAGGCACCTTATCAAATGCATTCAGAAAATCAAGGTAAACCAAATCCACAGTATTTCCTTCATCAACTCTTGCAGTAACATCCTCAAACAATGTCAGAAGATTTGTTAAACAAGACTTTCCCTTAGTAAAACCATGCTGGCTCTTAGTCACTATATTAAACTGCTTTAAGTAACTCTGCAACTCATCTTTAATCACACTCTCCAAAACCTTTCCAACTACTGATGTAAGACTAACTGATCTATAATTGCCTGGACAATGTTTATCACCTCCTTTAAATATTGAACTAACATTAGCCAACTTCCAATCTTTTACTACTCTTCTACTACTCAATGACCTATAAAAAATATTAGCTAGAGGTTCACAAATAAAATCTTTAAGTTCTTTTAAAACTAGGATAAAAGTTGTCCAGTCTAGGGGACTTATCAATTTTTAGGTTTCCCAACTTTTCTCTTACAATTTCAGAACTTAAAATGATATCTTTTTCATGAACATTTCTTCCCATACATTAAGTGCTCTGGTTGAGGCATAATACTTGTATCGGATGCTAATATTAAATCTAATATAGCTTCCTCCCTTGTAGGTTCCACCATCAGTTTGTGTATAAAAGTATCCTGAGTAATTTCCAAAAACGTATCCCCCTCACTGTCAGACTCAAAATTTTCCCAATCAATATCCCTGAAATTAAAATCTCCAATCATAATAACATCTTTTTCAGCTACCATTCTGATCTCATTATACAGTTTTTCATCAACTTCCACATTCTGACCTGATGGTCTATGACAAATCCCAAGACTTTTCCCTTTATATCCACTAACACCAACCCAAACTGACTCAACCTCAGTGCTATTTTCTTTAATATGTTCTAACTCAACAGGATGCAATTCACTCATTACATATAAAGCTACTCCTCCTCCTTTTTTCAATACTCTATCTCTAGTAAATAATCTGTAGCCTGGTATTTAAAAAAAAAATTCTCTCATTAAAAGTGTTTCAATCCAACCAAGTCTAAGTGATATTCATAATATATAAGTCCTCAGTTTCCACAACTGCTTTGAACTTGGCATTTTATTTCTAATACTTACATTAGTAATAGTTACAATAGTAACAATTATTCATAGATTTTAAGTTACGTTAATTTTTTATGCCTGTTGTACATGCTTTCCTGTCAATTATATTTTATATTTTACTAATATCATAGCCCTCACCTCTGTCTAGCCCTAGTTTAAATCAACCGCTATAGCCAAGTTAATAACCTTTGCTAACATGCTAGCCTTGTTTTAGTGTAAGCCATCCATTCCAAAAAGATTAACTTTCCCATTAAAATTATCCCACAAATCTAACCAGTCTACTTGCTCATCCCAACATATTGATCTAAGCCTGACATTCAATCCTAGTGACCTACTTAGTATCTCATGCCCACAATATATTCTTGGCAATATCCCTGACAAAATCAAGCTATGACCCCTTACCTTAAATGCCATTATCAATGTTTTATACTTATCAATAAGCTACTCAGATCCATCTTTCCTTACATCATCGGCCCCAACATGTTCCACAAAAACTGAATTGCTACTGGCACCCTTAACTATCTCTCTGGTTCTATCAGTTATATCCTGTACCCGTTGCTATTAGCACCCTTAATAATCTCTCTGCTTCTATCGGTTATATCCTGCACCCGTTGCTACTAGCACCCTTAACCATCTTTTTGCTTCTATCGGTTATATCCTGCACCCGTTGCTACTAGCACCCTTAACCATCTTTTTGCTTCTATCGATTATATCCTGCACCCGTTGCTACTAGCACCCTTAACCAT